TTTGCAGTTGCACCATTCAACGTATTGTTTACTGGGTGGCAAATTTAATATATTTATTCACCTTGTTATACTTATACACATATATATACAAAGTTTTAACCAAGGTCACTGGGTGTCGTGGCACCCTCACCCATAAAGCTAGATACACCCCTGATTGGGAGTAGTATTGAGCACCGATATGGAATGAGTTCAGACAACCCAAAATCCTCATAAACCATGTATGTCAACATGGGTAAAGGGCCATACTTTTTAGATGATTCTTTATTGTTTTTAAGCATAGCTTAGTGGATCCACTCAGTTGAGGATGTCCTATACTCCGGCAAGGTATATGACAGTTTTGGCAGTGTGGGTGAGACGTTGTATCGTCACGTTGCTCATAGTAATGGTTGTTGGTTAGAGAATCTCACAAATAAGAGTAGTGAGTTATTATTGTATTTTTATATACATTTGAGTTATTATCTACTGTTTTAAAAGTTTCATGTATATAACATATTTTAATATTATTGCTTTCATTTTGAGTTGAGTATCCTGAGTTGAGTTCAGTACCTTGAGTTGAGTATTCTTGAGTCATATTGAGTTGAGACGAGGTAAGTATGTCTTCCTTTTTATTAGATCGAGCTTATACTTTTATGTTGCACAATTCCCCTTACATGCTCGTACATTTCATGTACTGACGTCATTTAGTATGCAACGTTTCATGATCCAGATTCAGGTATTCAGGATCATCAATATGTGTTTCGTTGAGGTCATGTGATATTCTAGTCAGCTTTGGTGAGCCTTCTTATATTCCGGAGGACTTCACATTTACCTTACAGTTAGTAGTTTTGAGATGTCGTGGGTCTTGTCCCGATGTCTTTCTGTAATAGTAGAGGCTTCATAGATAGACAGAGTTGAGGAGTTTTCTGTATTTACTTTCTTTTGAAGTTGTTTTACAAACTATGAGATATCTTTTGAGTATTTTTTTCAAACTTTTTAAAGTTGAGTATTTGAGTTTAATGAGATTTGATTCAGTTTTAAGTTTTGTATGCTTGAGTTAGTCTTCCGCTTGTAGTCAGCCAGGATGAGGGTTCTCTTGGGGACCAACAATGGTTCTCGAGTGCCGGCCACGTCCAAGGTGTAGACTTGGGTCGTAACACCAGTCACCCACCCACTCACCCTTAAAAAAAAATTACTTTTAAACTAAGTATATATCTTTTTCTTATCTCACTCCTCTCCCCATCCCGAATAAAAAAGTTTAAAATAATTTTTTTTTGGGTGGGTGGGTAGTGAGGTTTGAGGCTAGGGGTACTGGATAGAGGATAAAGTAGGGTGATAAGTGTTGACACCCAATTTTGGACCTCCACAATATAGAATAATCATCGAGCTTCTACAATTTCAAGCGATTTAAAATAATTAGTTTTATAAAAAAAAAAAAAATTGCAAGTTATTCTAAATAGTTTCGTCACTTTTTTTTTATAATTTTTAAATAATAAATACATTTTTAATATAATTTCGTATATAACTAGTATATTTTAAGAATATTTGAAAAATCGTCTAAAAAATTTTTGTTTTTACTTAAATATTTTATTAAATTAGTTTATTTTAAGTTATGATTTATATTTTGAGTGAATTAGTTTATACTTAAGTTAATTATTCTATTTCGTTAAGATTAAGAAGCTTGTTAATTAATTTATATTAATTCGTCATGTAGGCCGAATAATTTCAATTTGGCTAACTTCTTAACTCCGATGGACTATAATTGCAATCCTTTGGCCGTTTTGATAATTGCAAATTTAGTCAACTTCTTATCTCACCTAGAACCAATTTTAAGACCAAATTTGGGCCCTTTTCTCAAATTTTCAGCGACCCAAGTTCAAGTTCAAAAACCTAGCCCACTTTTCTCAAATAATTCCAACCAGTAGCCTAATTCAATTTCAATTCAACAATACAACAAGTCAACAAGCAACAACACATACGTTTCAGCCCATAATTCCAACAAAAAAACTGACGCATCCAACATACCATACGTACATAATACCCAGACGACCCACATTCGTCTTCTTCCCCAGCAAAAACGCGTTTCATCCCAGACCCAGCAGGACGCGACGAAACCCAGCTAACAACTCGAGCCCCAGCTCGCAGCCTAGTCCCTCTCCTCCTTACCTTATCCTTTCCATACACAAATCGTACAAAAATATTCTCGAATCGCTAGGTGTCGAAATCGTGTAGCTCATTCGTCCTTCTCAAAAATCAAGCGGTTGCCATTCTCATTCTGTTGAGAATTGGTACGAATTCAAGCTTTCAACCTTATCCTCCGAGAGAATTCATATTTCGAATTCGAATTCCCAAAAATCCTCTGCCCGTATCCCTTCCCCCCTAAAATCAACCATATTTCTCCTTATATATAAGCCTCCATATTCCCATCGTTCTTAAGGTTAAGGGGTTGGAAGAAAGAAAAATAAAGAAAAGGTTAGGGACAAAGCTCACATACAGAAAAACAACGTTTACATACAAATACATACGAAATAAGTTTAAGAAACTATAGAGACTTAGGGGTCTAGCTCTTGGGTTTTCACTCTTTCTCACTCCTTACGAAAATTCGTCGGAGTCTCATTGTGTCGGTGGAACAACTCGCTTCAATTCGTCATCCCAGTCGTTGCCCGGAAAAAGGTAATGTTTCCTCCATAATCTTCTCATCGTCTTCTTCTGTTTTGATGTGCCTCACTGTTTTGTTGTTGTGACACTGTTATTTGTAGTTGAGAATTGGTGACTTCAATATGTTATACTTGTGTCCTTAATCGATTTCCTGATTCAATCTTAATGTAAATTCGGGTTTTACCGTTTTGTATTTAGTATTGTTGCTTCGTTGTTTCTTTGTTTGAATCCGTTTTTGGTTATTCCTAATCTCTATTCTTTTGTTTCCATTCTCTTTAAGCCTCATATTTTACCTTCATTTTTGCTACTATTGATGATGCTTTCTTTTCAGAAATAAGGATACAATCTCGAAGCTAACTAATGTGAAGGTTGTTTGTCGTTTTATCTATTGTTTGTTGATGTGACAACTGGTTTTCTCCTTCTTTTATTTTTTTCGAATCCTAGGATTGTCTTACTATCCAACATGTCGTGTTTGAATTGAGTTTATGTCTTCTTTTTGCTTAGATATTAGTTGAAAATGCTTACCATTTGCAGTTGAGCTTTATAAAATGTTAAAGAATGTGGCGTGTGATCTTTATCATTGTTGACCTTGCTGCCATAAGATCTGTCCTAGTTATCTTTTCTAGGTGTTAGAGTAGGTGCCCACACGATCCGATGGATTGGATTGTGATACAATTCAAGTGATTACACAACATGATTGCTAATAAATTCATAACCCCGAAATATCATATCCTGTTGATTTATATACTCGTATCTCAATAGTAGTTCGAATAATCTAGAGTTAGTAATTAATTTATTTTTCTTTAGTAGTTTATAAGCAGAAAAATAATGCGGGGGGGGGGGGGTTTTGG